AGGAATTAAGAGTGTAGGAAAAGTGTTGGTAAAGGTTTATTTCTACCCACTGTAAACCTAGTGAGCTATTAATTGCTAGAACAGCAAAAATCCTCTAAATTTGGCTCCCGTTGATTATCAGATACTCTCGTTGAGATGAAAAAAAAAGTGTAGTAGCACTGAATTCAGAGGTTGTACAAAAACCAAAATGCTGAAAATTCCTCTGCCAGCTCCCTTTCAATATTATTCAAAACCTAATATCCCCAGAAGACAACTGGCCTTAAGAAAATCAATTCAGTTATGCTGATAACTGAATCGCACAACTCACTCAGAAGCAGTGTCATAAATAGCAGTATTCTGAGAATAAACATTAAAGTGATAGAGGCTGTTCTAGGTTATATGAACCTACCCTTCTATGAAAGAAAATGTAGATGAGATGTCCATATATAAATACATGAAGAGTCCCAACTGGAATATGACATTTAAAACTGTTTCCATTGACTAGAGAGGAAAACCTGTACCAGGGGGCAGGTAGGCTGACTGCTTGGTTTTAAGCAGGCAAAGTCGAATACCTGTGTTTGGGAGGTGACTTTGGGTTTTGGGCAGGGGGCTTGCTGGTTGGGGGGGTTTTTGTTTGTTTTTTAAGTATTGGATGGTATCTAGGCTGTTTCGGTTCTTTTGTCTGGGCTGAAGTGTTCCCTTTGTTTCAGGCATGGTTTACTTTTTTAAAATGGCAACAATTGTGTCAGGCAAATATTCTAAAACTAGATACCTATTTCTGTGATGAAGATTATTTTTTATTTATTTGACTTCTAACTTGCATAGTAAAGAAACAGTCCATAAAATGGTCTTACTTTCCACTTTGTGCCCAGTAATTTTCTATTTACTTATTCATTACCATTCAAAGGTTTTTCTTTTGTTTGGAATTTCTTATTTAGGCCTTTTTAATTTACTATTTTAGAATAACTCTCTCTCAAAGTATATTTAGCATGCATCTACTTCAGAGGGAAACATGCAGATTTTTGCAGCTGCCCTCCTTATGGCCTTCCCTCTGCCCCCACAGCAGGCAGCAGAATATCAGACTGGGAAAATGGAGATGTACCAAAGCCACATTTGCCTGCATATACTTAGATGGAAGTGCTTTCTGGCAATTTGCAGGGACGACCTGTGTATCACCCAGGAGGGCTGTATTAGGGCCTTGCCCTTGTCCCATATGTGCATATCCTGCTGCACCCCAGGGGGACATGGGACAGGAGCTGATCAGGGGACATGCCCTGGGGCTCATCTGCTAGGGAGGCTCTGCATCCCTGCTGCTATCTACTCCCACACACACGTGTGACACCATGAGGGAGGCACAGTTTGGCAGGTCGTGGGTAACATGGCACTGCAGAACACGAGAGGAGCTATCGCAGTGCTGCAGTGTCTCTGCATGAAGGGCCCGTGCAAACAGGGAGACAAACCAGTGAATTTAGCATATTCTGCATTCATTTTGACAAATGTTCATCTTGCACAGGGTAGCTAAAGAGGCTCTGTTGAAGACGCAGATCTCCTGGTACCCTGCTTTCTATCTTCTCCTCAGTTTGACTCGGAGGCACAATTTTCCATTTACTAAGATGTTTCATGAATAATCAAAAGGCTGTTGTTCAGGGCATCTTTTCTTGTTTTTGTCCAGTGCTTTAGGAGCTACATAGAGATTTTGGAAGAATGTGTATGTGCAATAACCTGAAAAGCAGCAGTCCGTATACCACCTTGGAGGAAGAAAGATTTTTAAGCAGCCACTTTCTGAGCCTCCAGCCACAACGGAGCAGACCTTCATTAGCAGCTTGACCCCTTGTCACCTGTCAGCATGAAGGACAGGCAGTGTATTAGCAAACCTCTCTCTTCCTTTCTATGACAATTCTATAACACCACCTGCCATTGCATATCCCTCTATTATACCAGTTTAGGAGTTATGCACTGAGGATTTTTGGCATATATTAGCACTTCCATGTGATTGGCAGTATACTACTGAACCCATTGCAGCTCTGCATCTATATGGGTGTAGCTCCATAATTCAGGGCAGTGTTTCCCAGGGTTTATCTGCTTTTTGACCCATCTCCTGCCTGTACAAGTCCATTACCTTTCTGTTGGTTTCAAGCAGGGAAGGGAAGAGTGAGCACACAGGTGAAACAACTGTTGGAAATGTTACTTAGAACTAATGTTAATAAACCTGTATTCCTAGCACTGAAAGCAGAAGCTGTAGTAAAGAAAGTTACATGCACTATACAACCCAACTACGAGTCAAACAGTTAAATTTTGCATCATAACTTATTTTATTAGAATAATTTCCTTGCAGAGAATGTGTGTGAGAGAATGTGTTTCCTTGCAGAGAATGCTGCTGTGAAACACCAAATAGTTGAACAAGCTCACAGTTAAGCAACAGAAAAACTAAGTAGCCGTGGGATTTGGGAGCGCTGAAATGCACATTCTGACAACTCATCCCGGTTCTAGTCTTCTCTGGATTTAAGTTTGCAAACTTTCAGCCTGGCTTCAGGTGGCTATACGCTGGTCTTGTTATTACGTGATGATCCAGGCTGCATTAACTGTTAGTGGAGTCTGAAACCGCCTCCTGGTGTCACCTGGAAAGAGATGCGATCTGTAAAATACCGAAGTCCAAACTGCTAAGGAGAAAACACTGGCAAAAAAATTAAAGAATGCTTGCTCCTCTTCAGGCCAAAAAAAAAAACCAAAAAAAACCCAACAACAACAAAAAAACAACAACAAAAAACCCCACACCCCAACAAAACAACACACACACAAAAAATATCTAGCCCCCCCCCACCAAACCGACAAAAAAAACCCAAGCTGGTCCTTGTTAGGAAACTCACAAGCTGGGACATGGAGACTGATGCTGGGCGGAGGCGGGGGTAGCAAGCGTCTCCCCTGAACTTTTCAGGTGCATCTTTGCGCCTCGGGGGGTCCCGCTTGCCATTAGCCCGGGGGTCTCACGGACACGCCGCGGGCCCCGCCGGCCGGTCCCTGCCTCCCGCTAAGGGGGGAGGCTCAGCCCGCGGGCGGGCAGGTGCAGCCCCCTCCCCGAAGGTGCGCGGGCCGCCCGCGGTGCTGCGCTGTAGCCGCCGCGGGTGCGCAGCCGCCGGGGATGGGGACAGGGACTCGACTGGGCCCGCGGTTCTTGCGGAAAGGCCCCCGGGCAGGGGGTACCGGCGGCTCCTGCTGCTGCAGCAGCAGCGCGACTGGGGCTCCTCCGCTCCCCCTTCAGCCTGCAGCGCCAGTGCGGGGCCGTCAGGCGAGGCAGCGGCTCGTGAGAAATCTGTAACAAAAAATCTCTCCCCTCCCAGCTCTGCCTGTGGGGCTGAGGCACTGAGCGAGAACGGGCATCGAGTGGAAAGAAATCCGGAGTCGGATGGGTAGATGGATGCCTTCCGCGCTGTTTTGCTGATACTGCCCGACATTACGGCTCCTAGATAAAATATTTATTCAATAAAGAACCCGTAAACATCGCGTCAAATACATTAGGGCACTTCGGCTGCGCGGCTTATGATTATTTCAGAACTTAACAGAGGTGATATGCGGCCGCTGTCAGCGGGGACGGAGCGTGTATTTCCCCCCGCGAAGCAGCCACGGGTGGGAAGGGTTGGGGGCGTTGCGCCGGGGGGGTGTCACTCAGGGGAGCTAGAGGAGAAGGGCTGCGCCCCCCGGAAAGGAGGCGAATCGCGCAGGTGAGCAGAGGGCAGCGGCTGCCCAGCCCGGCGCGCCCCTCGCAGCCGGTTCCCGAAGCCCCCGGCACCCGGTTTTACTCCCTGACACACAAAGGCGGGGGACACGAGCGCAATATTTGGGGAATCGCAGAGGTTTTGATTTATTTTCCAGCCGTAGTAAAAAAAAATAAAAAATAAAAATGCTGGAAAGGTCACATAATAATGAGCTCTTACAGCAAACACAATCTTCCCTTCCCCCTTCCTTCTATCTCACAATAAAATCATCTCCTTCAATTTGCCATGATCGTCGCGACCGGGAGCCAGGTGATTATCCTAATTAATGTCTATCTAATTAAATTACTGTCAGCGGTTAACCAATGGCAGAAGCCGTTTCATCCTCTCCACAAGCAGCAAGATCAAAAGTGAGTCTTTCCTGATTGCTGCATAGTGTCAATTGGCCAATCTCTTCTCCCAGGGAAGGGAAAGAAAAAAAAAAAAAAAAAAAAAAAAAAAAAAGTAAATCAAATGCTTGGGAAGCATTTGGTGGATGAAGTGCTTTCTGTCTAGTGAGGGTCCCAGGATGTCTAGCTTCTGATACTAAGGAGCCCTTTCAGATCCAGAGACTGAAGGGTTATTACTGTGGTGCTAGAGCTATGCAGCTGGAGCATTGTCTTTCTCCCTCTATCATGCTCTCCAAGAAATTTCTCAATGTGAGCAGCAGTTACCCACATGCAGGCGGATCTGAGCTTGCCTTGCATGATCATCCCATTATCTCGACCACTGACAACCTGGAGAGAAGTTCACCTTTGAAAAAAATTACCAGGGGGATGACGAATCAGTCAGATACAGACAATTTTCCTGACTCCAAGGACACACCAGGGGACGTCCAGAGAAATAAACTCTCTCCCGTCTTGGACGGGGTCTCTGAGCTTCGTCACAGTTTCGATGGATCTGCTGCAGATCGCTATCTGCTCTCTCAGTCCAGCCAGCCCCAGTCTGCTGCCTCTGCTCCTAGTACCATGTTCCCTTACCCCAGCCAGCATGGACCTGCTCACCCAGCCTTCTCCATCGCCAGCCCCAGCCGCTACATGGCTCACCATCCTGTGATCACCAACGGAGCTTATAACAGCCTCCTGTCCAACTCTTCTCCACAAGGCTACCCCACGGCCGGCTACCCTTACCCCCAGCAGTATGGCCATTCCTACCAAGGGGCACCTTTCTACCAGTTCTCCTCCACCCAGCCGGGGCTAGTTCCTGGCAAGGCTCAGGTCTACCTGTGCAACAGGCCACTCTGGCTGAAATTTCACCGGCACCAAACGGAGATGATCATCACGAAGCAGGGGAGGTAAGCCACCGCGTGGATCCTCGCCGGGTGTCGGGGCTGAGCCG